AAATTTTACTTGATTTTCTCCTTTACTTACTTAGATGCATTCAATTGATTATTCTTTGAAAGCAATGACCAAAACAAATATGTTCCAATGGGGTTTGTGATTTTTGGTTGTCATGCTATTATTTCTTTTTCTTTTTTTTCGCTATTGAGATTTATAAGTGTTGCATTCTTGAATTTGATTACCGTTGTTCTTTGAAGGGAAATAAAAAAGGTGATTCTAAGGAACTATAAATATGTATATATTAAATTAATAAAAAAATTATTTTTATAAGATGTTGAATTTCTTTTTTAAATATTTTGAATAATTTTCTTTGATTGATAATAGGTACAAACTATAGAGAAAAAAAAAGAAAAAAAAATTAATTGGGTCAACCCGTGACCCGTGATGGGCGGGTTAGGGTCTGCCTTCATTGACCCGTGACCCATTTTAACCCAACCCGTTTTGACTCATTACCCGTTCTGACCCGACCCTAACCCGACCCAACACGCCCGTTTGCCAGGTCTAGTATGCAGTTAAATCTATAGCTAATGAAGAGCCTTGCATTATGGAGGGGTCATCATCTTGAAAAATATCATCAACCTCTCCTGAAGATGAGGTAGATGAGGTGTCAATTAGATGTCTAGATTTGATTTTACATGCTGCCAACCATCCCCGGGTAGTTCTATTCGTGGCTGCTGGATATGGAGTATAATAAACTTGTTGTGCTTGACTAGCAAGGTCAAATGGCTCCCTTATTAAAAGTTTAAACCTTGGATTGACATCAACAATTCCGTGTTCAACATTGACACATATTCCTCGGTTCGTGTCATACCAATCACAATTAAACAATATTATAGTCTCTTGATGGCCTGAGTGTCCATAATACAATAACTCGATCACCTCTTTTAAGACACCATAATAATTAGTTTCATCTACAGAATTAATGGTGGTTCCTTTAACACAAACACCATAGTTATATGTTTTTCTATTACCAGTAAACTCTTCAGTCAAAAATCTAAAGTCGTTCACATAGAACCCATTATAAACATTCACTTCAAAGATCGGGTTAATTGTAAGGTGGATAAGTTGTTCATTGATTTCATATTGTCCACTAAACACCTATATTTGAAAAAAAAATTAATTTAGTAATATTTAATATTTAATTAAAAATTTGAGAAAATAATATATAACAATTCATTACCATATTTTTAAACCATTGAACAAAATTATTTGTTCGCAATATTTGTAGTTGTTCATGTGACAAATTTGCACCAACTTCTTCCTCAAATTTACTATAAAATAACATTTATTTATTAATTAAAACGTTATGAAAATCATATAAGCTATAAAACATCGTGTAGTTTTTATTTTCCTAAGAAATAAAACTTACGTTACCCAAACATCAACCTCCATGCAATTTAGCAAGACATATAGTTCAGCTGTATCTTTCTCCTCCAATGTTAAACATCATGTATGTGAGTGGGCACCTATTGATTCACCAGGGGAACAAAATACGAATAGCTTACTTGGGACATTGGTTCCAATGCACCATAGTTCCTTAGAGGCTGATTCCAGCCTGTCTCAACATCATCCCCAAAATAACGAGAGCAGAAGTGGGATATCTCGTATAATATAAATGCCTCAACAATTGATGCCTCGACATGATTTTTATTCCCTATGGTACTCTTAAGTTTGCGTATGCGCCTGAAAAGAAATACTGATAAGATTAATTTGCAAAAAAGTAATCAAAAGTAAGTTTTAAAATTATCAATTTCTTTGTATGTTTTACCTTTCAAATGGGTACATCCAACGAAATTGAACAGGACCACCAACTCTGGCCTTATATGGAAGATGAATTGCTAGATGTTCCATAGAATCAAAAAATGTTGGGGGGAATATTATTTCTACCTTACAAATTATTTCAACAATCTTTGCCTCCCACTTCTGCATCTCAGTAACTTTAATGACCGGGGAACAAAGTGAACGAAAGAAGTTACTAATGTCGGTCAAAGGACCCCAAATAGCAGATGGCACTAAACCGTGAAAAGCAACTGGAATTAGTCATTGTATGAAAACATGACAATCATGACTTTTCATCCCAAATAACCTAGACTCATTTAAGTTGACACATCTTGATATGTTGGAAGCAAACACATCTGGAAAGTGCAACTGTTTTAGCCATGCACGTAAAAGCTTTTGTTTTTTAGATGTCAATGCATAACTAGCATTAGGTTTTACAAGCTTACCATGCGTATTATATCCCATGTGCAGTTTTCTTCAGTCACAATAAATAACTAAATCCAATCTTGCTTTCCCATTGTCTTTTGTCTTATTGCCATTCGTAATAGTGTGTATTATATTATCAAAGAAATTTTTCTCACAGTGCATTACATCAAGATTATGTTGAATAAGATTATCATGCCAATAAAGAAGTTCCCAAAAAATGCACCTTTTCATCCAATTATGAATGTTCCCAAAACCCTCAATTGTTTGGTTTTCAAAGGGTTTCCCAAACAACACATCAGGAAGGTTTTCAACTCGGTGACGCATTGAAACACCATCCAATCGAGGAGGAGGACTGCCTAATTCAACCCGACCCTTCAAGAAATTACTCTAATCAAATCTGAAAGAATGTGATTCTGGTAAAAACTGACAATGACAATAAAAAAAACATGGTTTCTGACCATTTTGAAGATAAAAAGATTATGTCATCTCCATACAGTAAGGACATGACAATTAGCCATGAGTGCTCCAATCAGCCACCATACCATAACTTAAAAAATCAGTTATGGTCCACATCAACATAGCCCGCATTATGAAGTTTTGCTTACGATAACTATCACATGTTTCTACACTAGTCAACCATATCATTTTCAAGTCTTCAATTAAAGGTCAAAGGAAAAAATTGATATTTTTACCTAGGCTTTTTGGACCTGCAATGACCAATGTAAGAAAAGTAAACTCTGGTCACATGCACATCTGTAGTGGCAAATTATAAACAATTAAAAAAACTAGCCAACAAGAGTAAGAGGTTGAAGAATGAGCCCATGGGTTGAAACCATCAGTAGCAAGACCTAATCGAACATTACAAGGTTCTCTTTTAAAAGAAGGATGCATTTGATCAAAATGTCTCCATACTTCTGATTGTGCTGGATGAATGACCTCATCCATATCACCACAACATTTCAAATGCCATGTCATATGCTCAACTATTTTTCGAGACATGTATAGCCTCTGAAGGTGAGGTATTATTGGCAAGTACCAAAGAGAATTCCTCGGAATGCCCTTTTGTCTATTCCTCCCTGGATTTCTCTGTTTATACCTCGCTTCTCCACAAATTGGACATGTAGTCAATGTTTTCGTATGCTCCCCATAGTATAAAAAGCAGTTGTTAACACAAGTATCAATTTTTAGATAACCTAACCCAAGCCCCTTCATATATTTTTTTACTTCATAAAAGTTTGAAGGAACTTTTTCTTGATCTTCAGCACTTAACAACCTTCTACATCCTTTGAGAATGGCATTGAAACCATTAGCAATTATATTATTTGTAGTCTTTGTATGCAACATATAAGAAAGCCAACTAAGCACTGTCTCATTTCTTTTAACACTACCAAGAGGAATTGTAGATGCATGAACCAAGTCATAAAATGCCTTTACTTGATTGTTTGGTTCCTCGTCCAGATGTTGATTGGGGAAATTGCCTTCCATTTCCCGATTATCATCATCCTCTGGACAAAATGCATTATACACCATTTCACAAAAGTCATTCCTTTCATCATGGTGTGTATCTTGGCTATATGATGATTCTCCCAGATTAGTAGCAGACCATGGATCTGCTGAATTTACAAATGTCTCACCATGTGCCCACCAAACAGAATAAGCATTCATAAAACCATATATAGTAAGATGGTCCCATACCATTTCCGGAGTCATCAACGGTAAATTAAAACATTTAGTACAAGGACATCTGATTAAATCATTCGGTTGAAGACCAAGGCTATTGTATGCAAATTGAAGGAAATATTCAACTCCATTATAGAACTCATTATATATCTCTCCTCG